CTGTACATTAAAATCAAAAGTTAGCCGGGCGTGGTAGTGCATGCCTGTAGTTCCAGCTACTTGGAAGGCTGAGGCGGAAGGATCGCCGGAGCCCAACAGGTCGAGACAGCGGTGGCCGGGAGTGGCCACCGCACTCCAGTCTGGGCGACAGAGTGAGACTCCAACTCAAAAAAAATTAAAAAAAAATAATAATAATGAAAATTTAAAAAGTTAGCGGGGTGTGATGGCGAGCACCTGTAGTCCCAGCTATTCTGGTTGCTGAGGCAGGAGGATCACTTGAGCCCGAGAGACTGAGGATGCAGTAAGCTATGATTGTGCCACTGTACTCTGGCCTGAGTGACAGAGTGAGACCCTATCTCTTAAAAAAAAGCGAGACTGCTGTTTCTCACTGGGATCTAACCCCTTCTAAGAATGAGGGTCAATTCTTAAAGGCTGGGCAGTGATTTCCGCCCCCCTTTAATAATAGTATTTTATTTTCTCTTTAAAGTAAGTAATAGGCATTTACTAGGAATTCATTAGTGCTTTTAGATGAATCTTTGTATTTGATTATCTGCAATGGTGTTGATAGACTTTTGAATTGGAAGCACATTACCCTTATGTGTGAGACCTAGATGGTACTTTGGGTTCCTGAACTTGTGACATTTACAATAACACCTTTCCATGGAAGGTGCCAGTTTCCCTTTCGGAGGCATGGGGATACAGATAACATTGCTGCAAGGCCAGCTCTCAGAAGCGTCACATATTGACTTTGCTAAGCTTTTATATTCCTGTGTTTGGGAATTACTGTTGCAAAATCGTTGGAGCCATTGTTGATGGATAAGGAAATGGTAACTGCCTTATTCCCCGGGATCTGCCCTCCTGCAGCCTGGGAATCTTGTCTGTGACCGAGTGGAGCCTTGGTGCCAGGAACGGCTTCATGACCAGGCTCAAGAGGAAGTGACAGCGGTCATGCCCTGGGTGGGCCAGTAGGGTAATTGGATTTGTTTAGCAGGTTTCTTCCTACAGTGAGGTTTACAGCAAATGACTGAGGAAGCCCCCACAAACTGAGAGATTCCAGTAACAGGACGACAGCTGGCCTTGGAGCTGGGATAGTGGAAAAGCACGAACCTGCAGCTTTCAATAGCAGGGTCTCCTGGACTTTGGCTTCAGTTGCAGAGACAGCTGTTTGAGATACCCGCACTGGAGGGGCTCTCTCTTGCGTCAGTCGAGGGTTGGTGACCCTGGCTCCAGGCCAGGACAAATTGTGTATAGATCTGGGTTAATTTGGGGGAGCAGGTCTCCAGGCCTGTGCCTAGGTTCCTGATCCTGACTGTTCTCCCCCACTGTTTGAGCAAGGGAACTGAATCTACATCCTGGATCTTGAGAAAAGCTGGGGCCAGTTGTGGTTAGGAGCTGCTTTCTCAAATGACATATTTGGGATATTTTCTTTTTCTTCCCAAACCTGAATCCCAGGGGCTTTTTATTGTGGGAGGGTGGTAGCTCATGCTGCTATAGCTCGTCTGTTCTGTAGAGATAGTTTGTGCCTGTGAAATGTGGAAACACATTTCCTGATAATTCCACCTGTCTGCTTATATACCGAGACTGCAGCTGCTGGTCTGGACCCCACAATACCTGGGCCCTAGATGCTGGGTCTGCCCAGCTGCACAGCCTTCCCACAGCCAGAAAGTCCCTAAAGTTCCAGCTGCCCAAGGTTCCCTGCTCTCTGAAGCCACCTCTGGAGTTCTCCTTGGGATCTGAGGAAAGGCCCTGTTGATGGTCGCATTGACACTGGGAACGGGGAGGTATTTTTATCAGGATCCGAAGTCCCTCCCGTCACTTAGTGCATACAGTAAAAACGGAAAGCTTCCTGGTTTTGTTCAGAGAACACGGTTTACCACTTGTGACCCAAGAGAGACTCCCTTGAACAGCATTGTAACCTCGATCAGCTGACTTCCTTCTCCATCCCTGTTGTGGAGTCTATGAGGAAACTTAAGTGTTTCTGGTAATTTAATTGAAATCTTGGCTGGGTATTCATTTGAAAACATAAAGCTGGAGCCGGGTCTGTGGAGACTTCAGCAAACCAGCCCCCCGAGACCAGAGCTGGCTCCTCTTGTCAGGCACGTCCAGCCAGGGATTTGGACCTTAACAGCAGCACTTGGGAGGCCAGAGAATTAGGCCTCTGTGCCCATGACATGTGGGATTGTGGGTCTGCTTAGTCTTGGCCCATGAAAGAAGCATTGAGCCCAGGAAAGGTACTGAAAACAATAGATTTGGGCACTGATTTCCCCACTTCTTTTTTTTGAGTTGGAGTCTCACTCTGTTGCCCAGACTGGAGTGCGGTGGCCACTCCCGGCCACTCCCGGCCACCGCAGCCTCCACCTGCTGGGCTCCGGCGATCCTTCCGCCTCAGCCTTCCAAGTAGCTGGAACTACAGGCGCGTGCTACCACGCCTGGCTGATATTTGATTTATTGTAGAGATGAGGTCTCGCCAAGTTGCCCAGGCAGGTCTCAAACCACAGGCTCAGGCAATCCACTCACCTCATCCTCCCAAGACGCAGGATTACAGGCTGAGCCACCAAGCCCGGCTTCCCCAGTTCTTGATTCTGTAGTGCCCTGGAGGATGAGTGTCCTCTCCTGTTCTCACTGGGGCTGAGGAGTGGCCATGGATATGTCCTCCCTTCTTCCCTCAGAGCAGAGTGTGTCCCATTTCCAGTGGGACAGGCCGCCTGTGCTCCAGCAGTTGGCAAAGTGCGTTCATGGCTGTCATCCATGATCCTCATGACAGTGTGGGCACATAGATGGCCTGGACTTACAGATAAAAGGACTTGAGTCTCAGCGGGATCTCACAGCCCAGAGCAGGGAGAGACAGATCTAGAGTTACGGCCCTTGACTGTGCCTTCAGCTTGTGATGCTTTGTCAGGTACCTTGCTGAGGAAAACAGCACTTGTCAGGTAGACTTTCTCATAAAAGAGAGCCTTTCTCCTCAGAGATCCTAAGCAGAGTGTAAGACCAAAGCATATATAAATGTTTTCATTTTTTTAAATACGAAAGTAATAAACATCATTGTAAAAATTAAGAAGAACTAAAAGTAGTGAGCCCTTTTATCCCGGGATGATCCCAGCGCATTTGGTGACCCCTTCCCTGTCTTCGTTCTGGGTATGTCCAGAGAGGCCTGGCCTGTCGTAGCGATTAGGATCATATTGTACTTGTCTGTTACTTTGCGTCCAGCTTCTTTTGCTTAATTTTGAGCACTTTCCTGTACTATTAATTAAATATTCTTCTGTAACATTATTATCTCATGGTGAATGCTAGTTTGTTATATGAGTTTATTAATAATTTGGCTGTTGGACATTTAGGTGGTTTCCAGTTTTTCCTTATTATAAATATTGTGATAAATATCTGTATATAAAATTCTTAGTGCATAGTTCTGAGTGCAGTTATTGTCTTGGGGTCAATTCTTGCAAGTGGAACTTTTTAAGGCCCCGATAACTTTTGCCAGTTTTCCCCCAGAAAGCTGATTCAGTCCCCTTTCCATTAGCCATGTGTGAGAGTGCCTGTTTCCTAAGCCCTTGTCAGTGTGGGATAATGATGTTACTAAATGATATCGTAACTTTTTGTCAATTTGAAGAAGAAAATCTATGTCTCATTTAAAAAATACATTGTATTAATGTGAGAGTACACATTTTAAGTATTTTTCCACAGCTGTATTTGACTCTAAATTTAAGAAATTGAGACCCATACATGTCTTGGTGTTTAAAGCCCCAGCACTTTGGGAGGCCAAGGCAGGAAGATTATTTGAGCCCAAGAGTTTATTCAAGTCCAACCTAGGCAACATAGCAAGACCCCTGTGTCTACCAAAAATAAAAGAATTAGCTGGGCATGGTGGCACATGTCTGTATTCTCAGCTACTTGGGGGGCTGAAGTGGAAGGATCGCCTGAGCCCAGGAAGTCGAGGCTGTGGTGAGCTGTGATTTTGCCACTGCACTCCAGTCTGGGGGACTGAGTGAAGATCAAACTCAAAAAAAAAAAAAAAAAAAAAATCTTTAAGAACATGGGTTTCTTAGCTTTTCTTTTCTTTTTTTTTGTTTGAGTTGGAGTCTCACTTTGTCACCCAGACTCCAGTGCAGTGTCCACTCCCGGCCACCACAGCCTCGACCTGCTAGGCTCCGGCGATCCTTCCTCCTCAGCCTTCCAAGTAGCT